GCGGACCTGTGAGCCAGGTAGAGAGCCTTCCTCACAACCCCACCCTGCTGGCACTCTGATCTCTCACCCTCCAGCTCCAGAGCCGTGAGAAATCATGTCTGCTTTTGGTACTTTTTTTTTTTTTTGAGACAGTCTCACCTCTGTTGCCCCAGGCTAGAGGTGAGTGGCGTGGCTCCAGCTAGCTTCCAACAGCCCAAGCCTCAAACCTGGCTCAAGCAATCACTACATGCCTCCAGCCTCACCGATAGACTGGGACCACAGGGCCAATCGAGCGCACCATTGCCCCCGGCTAATTTTTCTTTATATATTAGTTGTGCCAGATTAATTTCTTTCTATTTTTAGTAGGAGACGAGGTCTCGCTCCTTGCTCGGCTGTTTGAACCTCCTGACCGACTTGAGTGAATCTGCCCAGCACGGCCTCCCAGAGTGCTAGGATTACACACCTCAGGCTTCTATTCAGAATGGACAACTCAATGCACGATGGAACTTGAGGGCGCTAGCTAAATGTAGCACCAAATCAGTCCCTTGAAAAATCAATATAAATGAGTCCCTTTACACTGTCCTTTACTTAAATAGAAACCTGAATCCTGAAGAAAATGATTGGGTTTTTAGGCGGTGTTCATCAGATCAGAATCCCTGAGATATAGCATTCTTACAGAAGTCTTCTTGAAGCAGAAGGCACATACGTACAGATACACTTTCTGCGATTGCGTTTGATGCCTTTTGCCTATCAAAGAAGAATCCAGTTTAGACTTCAGGAACATAAATATTAATAGTTATGAGGAGAGATAAGCATAACTTTATCACCCAGCCTGCTACATCATCACAAGTTCAAACTTGAGACCCCATCCAACATCGAAATACTTTTTCAAAATTTGTATAAACTTTTCATGTTACCATTCATTAAGTTAATTTACTTGTTTAAGAAGTATTTGTTGATATGCTGATTGTTTCGCCTGGTCCTTTTGGCTGGATGTACAGTCATCAAGTCCCTGATTTCGCTGCATCTTCATTCATCTGAGGCCCTAGTTGATTAGACAAACATGACTAACACTTTTAAATTAAATACCAATAGATGATAAAGTGTTGACACCACCTGCAGCCAGTAAAGAAATGGGTAACGAGTCCAGGCCATCGGTGGCTCAAGTTTGTAAATCCTAGCCACTTTGGGAGGCCCCTTGGCAGAAGGATTTCTTG